CCGGGGTCCATTGTCTGCATGGTCATTTCCAAAGTTGAACCGTGGACGTGGTACATTCCCAAACGTTTCGTTGGTAAGTATCGCCATTCTTTACACCACACAACAACTCGTCAAAGAGACAAGTGAAGTTGATCCTTTGACCAAACTTGTGCTAAACAATTGTGGTGTCTCCCCTACCGGAAACGCGAATAACCCAGGGCAGAAGGGGAAATACCACAATTGTTTAGCACAAGTTTGGTCGAAGGATCGACTTCATTTGTCTCTTTGACGAGTTGCTGTGTGGTGTAAAGAATGACGATAATCACTGAAGATGCCGATGAAACGTCTGGGAATGTACCACGTCCACGGTCCTACTCTGGAAATGATGATGCATACTATGGACTCCGGACAAGATGCGTTCCTCTGAGTCGTCCTAGCAACATGACCAAGTTGCGAAAACAAGGTCAAACAACTTGTATAGAACGAAAGGAGACTGCGACCACACAAAAGGTCACACCATCTTGGTCTTCATACCTTATTATTATTATGTCGCATGTGCACTCGTGTACGTGTACGTACATGTGTTGATGTGTGTGTATGTGTGCACAAGTGCAAATGTCTCAATGGTGGGTCTGAGTGAGAAGCTGAGTCATTTTCGTTCCTGCTCATCCTTGGCGCCTTGTGGACGGGGCAAAAATGGGGGCGCCCACTGGACGGGACTCGACAAGTCCCCCATCAGAACGAGGCAATCGCTCGCAGGCACACATTCGTTGCATTTTCTCGCCCCAGCCCGGGCTCGAGCAGGGAGTTCGGCAAAGCTTTGGACAAGTCGAAGCACCGACTTGGTTTTGTCTCATCCTCAGTTTGGGCGTACTTTCGGGGAGGCTCGTTTTCCCGATTTGGCCGGAGCCGCATCGAGACGGAATGGGGAGGGGACGAGGTCAGACGTCCTCTGCCATGGTAGGCATGACAACCTCCAGCATCGAACCGCCGTGACTTTGTACATTCACAGACGTTTCGTGCAAATACGCCAGTCGTGAAAGTGGTCTCCTCGCTACAAGCCCCCGAGTTGGTCGGATGAGGCGAATTGTTGAGCTTACTTCCATTTCGAGTGTAACTGTTGCTTGAAGAGATTCGAAGCTCGGTTTCACCGGAAGACGACAGCGGATTCCTCATGACCAGCTGTCGATTGGCTCTACTGAAACATTCATGCTGACGCTGTTTCCGAGGCAATCTCGTTCGATTCCGGTGAAAAGGTACTAAGCTTTTGTGCGTCATATGATGGACATCATCAGAGCGAGGTAACATCGTCACAACAAAATTAAAGCTGCGAACAAAAGTTGGGTTTCGAGGTATCG